GATTAGCCAATGTTCTTTATAGCACTTGAGAGCCAGTATCCTCCCATCCTAAACATGGATTTAGGGACTAAACCTAGGATTAGCCAATCTTCTTTATAGCACTCGAAAGAGCATAAAAAATAGGATTGCTCCTATTGGGCACATATAATATTTAATGCACCACATTCCCTTACATTATCTAATTCACTACATAAGAATAGTAGTTTTTAACATTTCAAAATTATCAAAACCAATTCATCCAAAAAGTGGTTATCTTCAGAATTAACATTTGCATTTAGGAATAGTAATTATCACTACATTTAACATTTGCATTTAGTAAACGACATTCCAATCTAAGGCCTGATAGTAGTATACTAGAACTTTGAATAAGGACTTCTTACCTCGCTTCCCTGTGGGATCGATAAATGTGACTTCATTAGAGTCCTGTATTACTTGAGTGATACGTATACTTGCATTTATATAATTGTGAATATATAGAATATATAAAATTAATCAAGAAAATAAATTTACATCAAGTTTTTGGCACCGTTGTAGGGATTAAAATCTTCATGTAGTGGTGTCAACTTCATGAAGCCTAACATATAAAAAAGTTTCATCAATAGCTTGGGAAGTCTCCGAGTTTCTCCTTAAGATCTTTGACATCCCCTAGTCTCTCTTATTTTTGAGCCCATAATATGTTCAAAATTTGAGCAATTCCCATTTCACACCTCTTCGTCCGATCTTGTTGAAAAGTCACATCCCTTTGAACTCCTTTAAGATAATATCCTCTGATTTTTATCAAGAGTTTTCTTAGGTGACTTCGATTATCTAAGATGTAATTAAATATAAGGACTTGCCTTTATTGGAAACGTTTGGGAACCCAACTTAATGCAAACCCTATTTAATTTTTCATAATAAATATGGGAACTTGTCGGCTTATGATAAAATAGTTCCGTACGTAAAGAGGATGTCATATATTTCCTAGTTTATTTGATTGAGCCTCACCATCAAGCCATGTGTCCATTTTTTGATAGGGACACATAGCTTAAGGTGTGGCGCACTTTTAAACTATGAAAAATATGATATCTGTTTGATTTCATATTTTTCTAAACTATATATATATTTATATATATTACAATGAAATGATACTCCTCTAAAGTTTTTTCATAGCTCTAACAATGCGAAAATTCAACCATAAAATTGAATTGTCGTCACAGGACTAATGAAAAGCTAATATAATTGTTAAAAATATCTGTTTCGAAAATTATTCAGTAAAATATTACAAAAGATCATTTAGATCAATGATCATTTCACTATTCCAATTAATCTCATTAGTATTTCTCCTAGATAGTGAACAAAGGCTTTCTTCCATACTATCAGCCAAAGCAACTTCCATTAAATCAGCTAAGTCTCCCTCCAAAAGGCTTAATTTGTAGACCTTCTTGTAAGCATCATATCCTGCTACCCTCAAACCTTTCAAAATAATCTCTCTTAAAACACTGGAAATAGTGTCAACTGAATCCATGTCCTTAACTTATGTCCGAGCTGCACCCATCCTCCCAAAAACAACATCAACGCAGGATTTATCAGTAAGTAGAACACCAAAATCTGTTAAAAACACTGGATGGATTAACAAAAGATGATTTTTAAGCTCCATTGCAGAAATAACACCACCAAATCCCCATAAGAAAAATATATTATCTGTGCTTACTCTCTTGGTAGTATCAATCTGCAAGCCAGTCTCATCATCATCATCATCAGGTTTAGGACTGCTTACAGCTGGATTGAAAATGTTTGCATAATCTTACATTGAAGTGGAATACTCAAGTTTTGTTAGGCTAGAAGGAGCATTCTTCAACATTATATTCAGATTAGCAAATAAAAAATTTAGCTTTAGAACATTATTTTCATGACACTGGTTCCCATCTTCAGCTCGCATAGGAACTTCAAGTTCTATTAGTACATAATATTGTCTTTGTAAATTACTGAGGGCGCTTAGGATATTCTTTACTTTTCTCAATGGCCCAAACCCCTTGAACAAATGATTGAGATCAATCACATTGGAGAATGGTGACAACAACTTTATATATGCTTAAAAAACAAGAATTTGAGACCACTACTAGAAGATTTAAATCCTTGACAACGGTGCCAAAAATTTGATGCGACTTTTAATATGAAAGAATTTATGAACCCAGATTTACATATTTATAATGATTTTGTAAAGTCAAAATTTCAAACGCAAGTATACGTATCGCTCAAGTAGTACAGGGCTCTAGTGGAGTCCCGTTTATCGATCCCACAGGGAAGCGAGGTAAGAGATCCTTAGTCAAATTCTAATCTACTACTATTATTCCTTAGTTGGAATGTCAATTAAAATGATGTTTTATCTAGCAATTATTCTTAAATGAAAGTGTTAAATGTAAAGATAGTAACTACAACTAAATGCAAATATTAATTCTAAAGAGACGCCTGGTCTGGAGAATTTTGAGATAAAAAAAACTAGTATTCTTATGCAATGAGTCAAATAACGTAAAGGAATGAGTAGCATTAAATATTGTATGTGCCAAGTAGGATCAATCCAATTCTTTACCCTTTGGTCCAAGCATAAAAAATATTGACTAATCTTATGCTTGTTTACTGAATCTGTGGCTAGGCTGAAAGGATATTAACTCTCACTTCAGAGGTCCCACATTCCCCTCTCCTGAGGGCTAACATCTCACTTAAGTACTCAAACAATAGGGCCAAATTGGAGATTTTAGTCTGTCACCCTAAAATCTCCAATCCTACGCCCATCAAAGTATATTTCCCTATTTATTTGCATTCAACTCTCATGAACTTAACCATCCATGAAATCTGAACGTGGTTCTACTTTGTTGAGAATTACACAGCCCTCTCGAGTCTTAGTGCAATTACAACAAATTTTATCAAATTTTAACACTACAACGGGCCCTTATTATAATGTAAATAAAGTGCAAGTAAAAACCATCACATTTATAATTAAACCAGCTTCTAACATGCATCACAAAATCCTAACATGAATTCTACTTCTTACAAAATAAAAGTAAGATGAAAACAACGGCATAATCTTCTTATACCATTATTTCTAAGCAAGAGGAGAGAGTAAGAGAAACACATCACAAAATATGTTGAAAACCCCACGGAAAACGTCATTTCATCAAAGTAAATCCACTAGATAAGTGTTTACAAACCCATAAGATAATGAAGAACACAATACTTAGTTTTTTTCCTTTGAAAGAAAGAAGAAAATCTCTCCCACAAAGTCTCCCGCCGATCCATGCAATGCTAGAACATCTCCTTACAAATTCTCTCAAAATCCCCTCTCCAATCTCTCCAAAAGGGTACAAATCTACATTTCTACTCCTATTCTAAAAACCCTAAACTTTCTCCACACTTTTCCTAACATTCCTCTCACACAAAACCCTCCTTTATCTAACCTAAATTAGTTCTTTTAAAGTGTAGGGATGAAGTTTGAAGAGTTGCCATAAGAGTCCTTTCAAAAAGCGTCCAAATACGTTGAATTTCGGCCCACAACAGCCAAAAGTCGGTCCATAGTCGTCTCGGGTGTCGTCGGTGAGCTTTTCTGTCATTTTTTGGTCTTCTCAGATAAATCTCACCGTCAACACCATTTTGGGAGCCGTCGGCGAGCAAACTGCGCGACTCCACCGTTTTGCTCCATTTGGCTTTATTTTAGCTCTGTTTCGCCCCATTTTAGTTGCGTTGTGTTCCTAAAAGATAGCCCTACAAAATAAGTATGAAAACAACCTTCCTTTTATAGTGTAATCTCATTCAAAAATATGCAAGAAGTGTAAAAGAGATTAAGCATCGAAAAACTTATCGAAAGGTGATAGGGCAAAATTTCATTTCTTGCTCGCTTTTTCTCCAAATTGCACCGTCTTTGCATCTTTTTGTTCCAATGACCATAATTCATAATACCTGCAACAAAACATCAAAAATACCCTTCTTTAAAGTGCAATATCATAAAAAATAGTGTAAAATAGGTATGAAAATCTCAACATACTTTCCTTTGGTCAAAATCCCCTAAACTTAATTGTTACTTTTCCTCAAGTAATTTTAGTACTACATCATAGTTATGATCTATTGTAGTAAAGTTTTAATCCAAAAATACTATAAGTTTAATTTAAGTATATATCATAGTGAGATTTTCAGAAAAAATTCAAGTAATTAAATTAACTCTGTAGGTACAAGATTATCTAGCCATCAAGTTTAAGAGTTCTAGTTTTCTATTCATTTCAACAATGACTATATGTTGTAATATCAAGTCACAAAAAATATTCAAATGATAGGAACTTCATGAGAACACTATTAGTAAAAGATGCTAATATATAAATATAAGTTCAGGAATGTACTTAGGTTTTCCCTTTAGGTAGGTCTAGTGAGCCAATTTTTTATTAGGCATATCATCAAGCTTCTCCTCACTTCCATAATTTTTTTTCTTTCTTTTCTCTTTTTCATTTAGATTGCTTTCAATCCTATATATTTTTCATTTCTTTTCAGGGATTGTTTTCAATCCTTTCTTTTTCCTTTTTCAAGTGAGGATTAATATATCTGGATAACCTTTAATGATTTTGAACTTCACTTTTCTTTCCATTTGAAGCTAAAAGCATTCCTTTACCTTATAAATATTTCATAGCTTTTACATCATTGTGCCCCAATCTTTTCTTCTCAAAAAAATTTTCAGGATTCTTAATACTTCAAAATATAATTTCCTTTACTTTAAATTGTTAATTACAGTCTTATTCTCTTATACTAAATATCTTAATCTATAAAATCAATTTTCATTACAAAAATATTCTTTTAAATATATGATAATATTTAAATATCTACAAAATATAGTTATCTGAATTAAATTTACTACCTAAATTAATATTAATAATTTTTGAAAATATTTAAATTGAAAACATCTAATAATTAATCTTTTTCTTCCCTCTCCCAAACTTAAATTTATCAATATGGAATGATACTGGTGGAAAGAAAAATTCTAAATATAAATCATACCTCAGTATTTTAGTCTTTGTTTTATTGTTTTCATTTTGTGCAGTCCTTCTCAAAATTTCTACTTCGCTTGGTCTGTAACATTAGGAGCTTTCTACACATATAAATCATTAGAG